ATTGGGAGCTTGCCTTATGTCGGCTGTAGAGGCTCGCACGAGACGAAGGCAGGAAGAGAATGTAATTATACAATCCCTACAAAATTTAGTTGAAAGTTTGCAAAATGAAATTCATTTCTTACGAACTGCTCTGAGTGAGGAGCGTGCCAAAAATTCACAGTGTGCTGATTCCTTTAAGGAGTCGCTGGAAAAAGAAACTCCTCAGATAAATCACATATATCCTCAAGCAGAATTACAGTTGGTAAAAAATTGTGGTGAAAACTGTTGCTCCCAAATAAGACCTTTGATTAAAACAGAATATAACTATATCAATGATGAAGATCTTGATCCACATATAACCTCTAAAGAAATCCCGTACACTGCTACTGAATTGGCTGAGTTAAAAAAGGAGTATGGGCGTCTCCCTCACGAGTCAGAGACAGAATACGTATTTCGAGTGTCTCTCACAGGGGGAGATCAAATTCGATTATCTGAACAAGAAGCAAGTGGTTACTGGGGACATGGTGTTTTCTTAACAACAGGAGATAACCGCAACCCATGGTTCCTAACACAGCGAGCTGCATATTGGGCAGGGGGACTTAAACCCCTGGAAAGGGGAGATCCTGTAGCTATAACCGGCTCCCCAGACCAAATTCTAGAAAACATTCATAAGGCAGCTTGTCTACAACTGATTCATGAAAGAAAATTAATTGTTGGTTATGAATCACCAATTTTGTTACCTGTGAAAGCTGAAATTATGACCCCTTTAATTTGTGGTCTTCCAGAATCACTGAAACCTACAGCAATTCTCCTCCAAACAACCATAGATAATATCCTTGTGGGAGGAGATGAAAAAGAAGTAATAAAAAATAAAGATGCTGAAAAGAGGTACACTACCTGGGAAAAGGAATTGTTGGTAGCTAATCCAGCTCTCATAGAAGTAGAAAAAATTACACAACAACAACCAATTGCATTAAAAGGCCCTTTTTAAATTACTAAGACAGTCACTACTGGGACTCTCCACCCTGACAGGGTGGCCCAGAGGGCCTCAGTGAGAAAGTGGTATGCCCAGATTGAACATGACTCTAACATCTTCTCAATAACAGAAGGAGCTGTAAAAAATCAGGTGACACAAAAAACTGAGAGCTTAAGTAGCAGCCATGACAAACCTGACTTGATAATTAAAGAAACCCCTCTTAACATAAAAACGGAAAAGGGTAGGCTGATTTCTAGCCTACAGTATTGGTGGAACTTGGGGGTGAAGAAAGGAGTACCGAAGGGTTTAATGGTTAACCTGCCGCTTAAAAAATTAAGTAAATTGGCCTCTCAGTGGCAGGATTCCATCCCCATTGTACCAAGCGCTCCACCTCACCCTCAACTGATTCTGGGCAGTGAGCCAAAGCAACACCACTCACAGGTTCTGGACAGTGAGCAAAAACAATCAGCAAACTCTTGGTTCACTGATACCTCTGCCAAACGAGAGGGAGAGGTGTGGAGGTGTGGGGCAGTAGCCCTCCAGCTTTCCTCTGCTGAACAAATCGTTACTGAGGAAGAAAGCAGCGCCCAGGCTGCAGAGCTGATAGCTGTTTGGAGTGTTTTCCAACATGAGGTACAGAATACCTCTCCTGTCTGTATCTACACTAACTCCTCTGCTATGTTCAAGGGATATACTGAGGGGCTTCCTTTTTGGCAACAAAAGGACTGGGAAGTAAACAGAATTCCAGTATGCCAAAAGGAAAAGCGGCAAGAAATTCTACGCTTTCTGCTGGTAAGAGTGGGTATTATATCTTGGTTAGTCCAAACTGAAACTTTTAAAAGAACTACAGGAGAATATGCATGGGTAACCTCCGATGCCTTGAGGATAGAGCTTTGGATAAACACCCACTGGATAATTCCATCATTTTAATCTCCTGCCCCTATGTGGCAGACTCTGTTTTGTTTATTTTCTACAGAAGAACACCGAGGGACATGAAGATCAGATAAACCATGAATTTATAGATTTAAAATAAATGCTGTAACAAGGTCTATATTAAGTGTGATAATCACATACCATGGTGTAAATACCCCTTTTGTGCTGAATGGTAAAACTAACGTTTTCCCTTCTTTTCTGTTAACTCAAGGTGATGACGTTTCAATACGCTGCAGACTGAGTACCGGATCCCACACTGAGCCTGTACACAGTCAAGTTGCCGGATCTCGTGGCCAGGTTATATCTTGTGAAACTCGGAATCAAGATTGTTGGCTGAATTTAACGGCTGTACAATTGTCCTCCAAAGTCGTGTGTGGTAAAAACAATAGCTTAATGTTCAGGTTGTACTACCTGCCACACAACCACCAATTAGATTGACTCCAAAAATTTCTGAAATTGGACCCTATGTAATCAGGAAAACTGGCCAACAACAAATGCTATTTAATCCAGCGTGGTCTATCAAACAAGTTAAATTACTAATGCAAAACAATGTCTCAGAAATTCAGTCAGCTTGTTCACCTTTTTTGCAAACTTCCTTTTAGGGGTGGACAACCTGGTTGCGAAAGCGAAATTCTTTTCACAAACGGATGACAAGAGATATAACCGGTGTCGTGGGATCAGGACTAGGAATTTTGAATAGTATTGATTCAGAAGTATTGATGAATAAATTGGCTGTTGCAACTAAAGATTTGACCAAAATACAACAACCACTGAGGTCATCTTTAACTGCTTTGAGAACCCAACAGTGGTTGCTATCAAACATATTACCAAATTGGGAAAGGGTAAATGTAGATGATCACAAATTAATAATTGATGCACTCAGTGCTACCCAAAACAATGTTTCTCTGGCTCTTAGCTGTATTCAAGCCCAGTTGTGGATGCAGTCAGTTGCTGCATCAATTATCAGAGAGGGTGAAGAAGGCACCTTTCCCACTGAGATTCGGAAAATAGTCTGGGACAATGCCAATGATTTGGAAAAGGAATTTCTATCTTGGTGGAATTTGGTAAATTTTACCTATGATCCCACCACAAACACAGCCACAGCTTTTGTGTTGACAATACGTAATGCTTCAGTACATTCAATCTTTCCTATCATTGCACTGGGGCTGAATCATGACGGAGCTGTTCTCTATCCTTTAGAGCACAGGGAATGGGCCCTTCAGGCTGGTGGGAAATGGCAAACTGTTGGTTTAGAAAATTGTATTGTCCGGGAACAACAAGGGTTTATCTGTGAAAGTAATGCAATCAAAGCTCAAGACATTTGTTTAGACACAGAACAGAATATCTGTCATTTTGAAATCCATCCTAATGACACTTCTGAAACAGTGCTTGTGTATGTAGGCAATGGATGTGTATGCTTGAGAACTGCTTGTGATAGTATGCTTGTAGAAAACATAGTAGTGGATACTAAGAATCATTCAAATTTTTGTGTATGCAATTTTACTGAGATTATAGGTTGTGACTTTTCTTATTTAGCTCCAGTTACTTCATATTATCTTTTGCAGTATAATTACACTTTGATTCATCAAGTTTAGTGCCTGCTCCAATTGGAATGAACTTTACTCTGGTAAGGCAATTGTTGCTTCACCAGGATTTAATCGAAATTTTGGAAAAGATCAAAAAGGATGGACAAAAGACCTTAGTTACCGTTCACCACAATGTGAAAGGAATACATCGTGTTCTGGAAAGAGTAAGGAAAGATGCTGAACACGAGTGGTGGGACACTCTTTTTGGGTGGTCACCAACTGCTACAGGTGTTTTGAACAAATTGTGTCATCCCATCATCGTCCTCTTGGTTTTAGTTTTACTTGGTTTTGTTCTATCAGCAATTTTGTACATCCTGAATTGGAGAATGATGAAGCGGTTGACACAATTGTCTTCCATAATGGATGCACACAACATGATTGGTACTTTACATGTTGCTGATACCCCTAAGGTTATCAATACCCGATGAATTATGCAGGCACTACAATAAATAATTTGCCATTGCGACTATGAGGTTAATCATTTTATCATGGTGTATTTTAGAATATAATTTATTGTTTGTTTTAAGATAAGAAACCAATATGTAAGTCTTAGTTGAAATTGTATTTTAGAATATAATTTATTGTTTGTTTTAAGATAAGAAACCAATATGTAAGTCTTAGTTGAAATTATATATATGGAATAGTTTTTCTTTGAAATCAACATATTGATTTTCTTATTATTATCTCTTTTTCCTTTTTCTGTCCCTTATCTTTTCCCTACTACCTGTCTCTGTTTTTTCTGGGATATACTACCAACTGTAACGAGTCCTGAAGACTTCAACGAAGAATTTTGCAGCAGCACTACAACATCGTGCAGAAAGACCTCGACGATTGTGAGCCACGGGGTGGTGTAAGAGACGGTCCGAAGATTCCCTCATCTGTCTCACAACCGTCTCAAGGACAGAGACTGAGACCCTGAATATCACAAGGGACTTGGTTTGGGGGTTTGGGCCTAGCTGAGATGGATGTTTGCTCAGTGATTGTTTGCAGGAGGTTGCACAGTACACTGCTCTCGTTCCTGCTGGTGAGCAGAGGCTTGCTAACCTGCGCAACGGGTTTTCCACGACTCATGGCTCTCATTCCTGCTGGTGAGCAGAGGCTTGTGCGTGGTACCCGGTGCAATGGGTTTTCCACAACACCTTGTCCTTGTTCCTGCTGGTGAGCAAAGACTTGCAAGACATGGATCGCTCTGTACCCTACACCTGCTCCCTGCGCAATGGAATTCATCACAATGATCATCAATCTCATCTGGTTTTGGCCCTGCGCCCCTCGCTTTGCAAAAGACTATAAAATTATACCCCAAACTTACCTTCCTTTGAGATCTCCCCAACGGACAGAAGACTCTGCGTCGTTGGACGGCTGAGTGGACTTTGACATTGGTAGCTATAATCCCCTTACTCTCTTTTCCTTATGCTTTGCTTTCTCCTTTCTTTCTCTCTATTGCATATTAGTGCTGATGAGCACTCAATAAAGTGTGTTTTCTTGTTTAAGTCCTTGGTTTGCTGATAATCTTTTGTACTCTAAGACCGGCTAAAAGAACCACATCACGAATCCCACCTTGCAGATCGTGACACCAGGGGCCTCTGTGACACTGCAGGGCCTCAGTCAAGGAGGGCAAAGGTCTCAAACATTCCTTGCAGGGTTCTGCCTTGGGGAAGGGGAACCTCCTTGGTGGCACCTTGGGCTGACACACACTTGATGAGTGCGTCTGTTTTCAACAATGAGACCTCAGAGTTTCAGATTGCTTCCAAATAAAAAGGGGAAAACCTCTCTTTCCTGAGTTCAGGCAGGTCTCCAAGCAAAGCAGGTCCCAGGTGAGGGAGGACACAGAGGATGGGGTTGGGGAATGTGGAGCAAGGCTGTCCACACTGGCTCACACCTCAAGGCACAGCTTCTCTGAGCAGGCCAGACCTCCTGAGGAGAGACCCTGGCTCAATATCAATCACAGAATGCTGCAATCACCTCTGCTCCAAAGAGAGCAGGAATAAAATACATCCTTTATCACAGGAATGTGCATTTCCTAGAAGCTGTTATCAATACATATTATAATATTGGCTTTTCGCAAGGATTCAGATGAATGCTGTATGTATCACGTTCCAGTGGCTTTGCTGTTACAGTCGATAGAGGATGTTTGAACTGTCTGCTCAGTTGGGATAACTCCAGTGAACAGATGATGGGGACCCTGCTGCTATCAACACTCAGCGGCTGTGCAAAGAAGGAGCCAAGGCCCAAATTCAAAGGGGAGAAGAGGATTAAAACCACAAACAAGACACAGGCATGCTGTAAAAAGGCGGATCCAAGGAGTGGCCATGCTAAACAGTTCATGGGAAATGTAAAGTAGTTAATGGAAAAGTTTGAATATGCATAAAGTCTATGAATGTGCATCAGGTGATGCAATAGAAATGGGATATAAAGGGTGTTTCCAAAACACCAGGGGTGCTCTTGGCAGAGGGCCAAGCACCCGGCCCTTTTAACCCTTTGCTTTATTGTCTTTGTCTCCTTCTGAATTTCTTATTTAACCTTTCAAAATTGACCAGGAAAGTGAATGTCGTTTTTCACAGGAGCCCAGATGAGAAATTGGGACTGAAAAAGGGGAATTTGGCTGGAAAAGGAACAGTTTGGCCCAAAATTTGGGGTTTCAGCAACAAAAAGTGGCAGTTTAGACATAAAAATGAGAGTCTGGTTTAAAAAAAAATTGGAGTCTGAAGCTAAAATGTCAATCCAGGTGAGCCAGTGGCACCTTGGGGGGAAATTTGGTGCAAGAAAGGGAGATTTGGGCTGAAAAAGGAAAGTTTGGGCCAGACAAAAGGGGAGATTGTGTCCAAAACAAGGACAGTTTGCCCAAAAATAAGAATTTGGGTCCTCAGGTGGGAAGTTTGTAGCTGAAATGGGAACATTTGGCCCAGGAAGGGAGAATTTGGGCCTTTGAAAAGGGGAATTTGGTTGCTCAGATGGGAAATTCAGACCCCAAATGGGAGTTTTGGGGCTGAAAGGCAGAATTTGGGTCTAAAAAGGGGAAATTTGGGAACTCAGGTAGGGTATTTGGACCCAAAGAGAAGAATTTGGGGCCAAAATGTGTAGTTTAATCCCAAAAATGGAAAATTTTTCTGCCCAGATGAGAAATCTGAACCCAGAAGGGGGAATGTGGTTCCAAAATGGACAGTTTGGCCCAAAAGTGGGGGTTTGAGCCACAAAAAGTGCTGGTTTAGACCCAAAAATGAGAGTTTGGATTAAAAAAACAATGGGAGTCTGATGCCAAAAAATCAACTCAGGTGAGCCAATGGCAGCCAGGGGGGAAATTTGTGGCAAAAAGGGGAGATTTGGGATGAGAAAGGGGAGTTTAGGCCAGGAAAAAGGAGTTTGGGGGCAAAAAGGAGAATTTTGGCCTAAAAAAGGAAAATTTGTGCACCCAAATGGGAAATTTGGACCAAACCAGGGAAATCTGGGATCCAGTGGGAAACTTGGACGCAAGAAGTGGAATATGGGTCCAAAACTCAGAAATTTGGGCGGAAAAAAGGAGAATTGGCCTGCCCAAAAAAAGAGAGAAGTCTGGACCCAGAAGGGAGAGTATTGACAATGAAAGGCAGAATTGGGGCCTAAAAAAGAAGAATTTGGGTGCTCAGGTGGGAAATTTGGAACCCAAAAATGGATTCTGTGACAAAAAATGGAAATTTGGGCTCAAAAAAAGAGGAATTTGGGTGCCCAGATGGGAAATGTGGACCCAGAAGGGCGAATTCTGCTCCCAAAAGGAACAGTTTGGCCCAAAACTGGGGGTTTGAGCAGCAAAAAGGAGCAGTTTAGATGTAAAAATGAGAGTTTGGATTAAAACAATGGGAGTCTGATGCTAAAAGGTCGACCCAGGTGAGCCAATGGCAGCCAGGGGGGAAATCTGTGGCAAGAAATAGAGATTTGAGATGAAAAAAGGAAGTTTGGGCCAGAGAAATGGGGAGATTAGGTTAAAAAGTGAGAATTTGGGCTCAAAAGTGGGAATTTGGGGACAAAAAACAACATTGTGGGCACTCAATGGGACATTTGCACTCAAAAAGTAAAATTTGGGCCTAAAAAGGGGGAAATTGAGCACTCAGGTGAGAAATTTGGATGCCAAAAAGGGAATCTGGGTTTAAAAAATGGAAATTTGGACCAAAAAATGGTGAATTTGGGTGCCCAGATGGGAAATGTGGACGCAGAAGGGGAAATTTGCCTCCTAAAAGGAACAGTTTGGACCTAAACTGGTGGTTTGAGCAACAGAAAGGGGCATTTGCCTCCTAAAAGGAACAGTTTGGACCTAAACTGGTGGTTTGAGCAACAGAAAGGGGCAGTTTAGATGTAAAAATGAGAGTTTGGATTAAAACAATGGGAGTCTGATGCTAAAAGATTAACACAGGTGAGCCAATGGCAGCAATTTGTGGCAAAAGAGGGAGATTTGGGCTGAAAAAGTGAAGTTTTGGCCAGGAAAAAGGTGTTTGGGTCCAAAAATAGGAATTCGGGCCAAAAAAGTGGGAAATTGGGCACTCAGGTGAGATTTTTGGGCCCAGAAAGGGGAGTTTGTGTCCAGAAAAGGAGAAGTTGGGCCCAAAAAGAGGGAATTTGGGCAGCAAAATGTGACATTTGGACCCAAAAAAGGGGGAATTTGGCTCCAAAAGGAACAGTTTGGCCTAGAACTTGGTGTTTGAGCAGCAAAATAGGGGCAGTTTAGATGCAAAAATAAGAGTTTAGATTAAAACAAATGGGAGTCTGATGCTAAAAGGTCAACCCAGGTGAGCCAACGGCAGCCAGGGGGAAAATCTGGGGCAAGAAAGGGAGATTTGGGATGAAAAGGGGGATTTGGGGCCAGAATTAAAGGGAGTTTGTGTCCAAAAAGGGAGAATTTGGGGCAAGAAAGGGAGATTTGGGATGAAAAGGGGGATTTGGGGCCAGAATTAAAGGGAGTTTGTGTCCAAAAAGGGAGAATTTGGACCAAAAAGAGTAATTTGGACCAAAAAGGGGTAATCTGGAAGAAAAAGGAGGAATTTGGGCACTCAGGTGAGAAATTTGGACCCAAAAATTAGAATTAAAATGAGAAAAAATAGGTATTTGAGTGCCCAGATGGGAAATTTGGACCCAGAAGGGGAAATCTGGTGTTAAAAGGGAGAGTTTTGGCCTAAAACAGAGGAATTTGGGTGCCCAAATGGGAAGTTTGGACCAAAACAGGGGAATTTGGGATCTAGTGGGAAACAAGGACACAAAAATGGGAATATGGGTTCAGAACTCAGGAATTTGGACCAAAAAAGGAGAATTGGGGTGCCCAAAAAAAGGGAAGTTTAGACCCAGAAGGGGGAGTTTCGGCGCTGAAAGGCAGAATTTGGGCCAAAAAAAGGTTGACTGGAA